AAGCAAAAATAAAGCAGGAAGCACCAGTGACTCGGTTAAAAAGGAAGTGGTCAGATGACGCAGATGCTAAGCTACAGGACTGTTTTGCTAGCACAGACTGGAATATTGCGGAGTATACCACATCAGTCACTGGCTTCATCAACAAGTGCATCGATGACGTCGTCCCCACAGTGACCGTACGTATATACTCTAACCAGAAGCCATGGATTACAGGCAACATCCACACTGAGCCAAAGGGTAGAGCTGCCGCTTTCAAGGAGCGGGACTCTAACCCGGACGCTTATAAGAAATCCCGCTATGCCCTCCGATGAACCATCAAACAGGCAAAGAGTAAATACTGGACTAAGATTGAATCGTACTACACCGGCTCCGACGCTCGTCAGATGTGGCAGGGCTTGCAAACTATTACAGACTACAAAGGGAAGCACAGCCGTGAGCTGTCCAGTGACACGAGCCTACCAGACGAGCTAAATCACTTCTATGCTCGCTTCGAGGCAAGCAACACTGAAGCATTCAAGAGAGCATCAGCTGTTCCGGATGACTATGTGATCACACTTTCAGTAGCCGATGTGAGTAAGACTTTTAAGCAGGTCAACATTCACAAGGCCGCAGGGCCAGACGGATTACCAGGATGTGTACTCCGAGCATGCGCTGACCAACTGGCAAGTGTCTTCACTGACATTTTCAACATGTCCCTGACTGAGTCTGTAATACCAACATGTTTCAAGCAGACCACAATAGGCCCTGTGCCCAAGAACACTAAGATAACCTGCCTAAATGACTACCGACCCATAGCACTCACGTCTGTAGCCATGAAGTGCTTTGAAAGGCTGGTCATGGCTCACATCAACACCATTATCCCAGAAACCATCATTAAGTTTGCCGACGACACAACAGTGGTAGGCCTGATCACTGACAACGATGAAACAGTCTATAGGGAGGAGGTCAGAGACCTGGCCGTGTGGTGCCAGGATAACAAGCCTCCCACAACGTGATCAAGACAAAGGAGATGATTGTGGACTACAGGAAAAAAATGAGGACTGAGCACGCCCCCATTCTCATCGACAGGGCTGTAGTTGAACAGGTTGAGGGCACAACAAAGCCTATTCCCCCTCAGGACACTGAAAAGAGTTGACATGGGTCCTCAGATCCTCAAAAAGTTCTACAGCTGCATCATCGAGAGAATGCTGACTGGTTGCATCACTGCCTGGTATGGCAACTGCTCGGCCTCCGACTGCAAGGCACTACAGAGGGCAGTGCGTACGGCCCAGTACATCACTGGGGCCAAGCTTCCTGCCATCCAGGACCTCTATACCAGGCGGTGTTCAAGGAAGGCCCTAAAAATTGTCAAAGACTCCAGCCACCCTAGTCATAGACTGTGCTCTCTGCTACCGCACGGCAAGCGGTACTGGAGTGCCAAGTCTAGGTCCAAAAGGCTTCTTAACAGCTTCTACCCCCAAGCCATAAGACTAATCATGGCTACCCGGACTATTTGCATTGTCCACAACCACCACACCCCACCCCCTCTTTTACGCTGCTGCTACTCTGTTTATTATCTATGCATAGTCACTTTAACTCTACTGTAAGGTCTACTACACCTGTTGTATTCGGCGCATGTGGCAAATACTATTTGATTTGATTTCTCATGTGTGTGTTTTTGTTTTGCAGCGGTGAGTGACTTCTTCAATGCCAGCTGTGCTCCAGGAGCCCCTAAGGGTTCTAAACTGTGCCAGCTGTGTAAGGGAGACTGCTCCAAGTCTCACAAGGAGCCCTACTATGACTACGCCGGGGCCTTCCAGGGGGCCTTCATTTATCAAGGTGGCTGTGCACAAAAAATACTAAAATTGAGTGTGCCAGTTTTCCTGCAAAGGATGGTATTCATCAATTTTGAACTTGAAGGGAAAGTGATCTTATCTCCACGCTAATCTCAAACCATGCTTATGCACAACTTCTAGTTGTTTATCAATTGTATTGCAATTTGCTAGCAAATATTGTTATTTTGGGGAAATGGAAGTGTTTGTTGCTCTGGAACTATTATAATGGTAGGTTAATAAAAACATTAAAACGTAGGCCTAATGATAAAACGGATGCATGTGCCGTTGGTAAGAAGAGTGTATAGCAGCATGTCGCCTAATAAATGTATTCTACTTTTATTATATAGTCCTAAATCCTAATCATATTGCAGGGCATGTCTCTCCTTTTCTGACATGACTGGTTTATTCCCGCTACACAACAACTATTAGGCTACCATTTATCCATCGCTCATTCAATAGCCAACCATGCTCGAAAGTAAATAGACCGGTAGCCTATGACAGTATAGGTAGGCTACGGTATTGCTGTGCGAAAGGAGCGCGACATTAATAGCCTATTTAATCTCAGAGACTATACTAAGGCAGGAGATAGAAACTTAATCATGTATTTATTAACAAAATATTGAACAACTATTCATATTTTTTATAGAAGTGTCTGATGTAGGCAGCATTTACTTTTAAATTGTTCAATAAACAATCCGTCTGCGCAGGATGTGCGGCCAGTATTTGACAGCATTAGTCACAGCAAAAGTTGAAAACATTCTGCCCACACCTGTACAGAAATGTGATCAAATTTGCCATTGCGCTTTAGAAACGTTCATGGCTCAGTTCCAACATCTCCAAGTCATACAGCAACTGAGGGCGTTTTTGTTACCGTCAAAGGTGAATGGAGGGCATTTTCCAGGCGGGGTTGTAACGCTTGTTTACGAGCGCACAAATATAGTATGGCTCTGATTTATAAATGAAAACATGCTTTATGTTTGATAAATTCCAATACTTTGTTGCACACACAAATCCTAGAAGCTCCAGGTACACCAGAATTTAGTGAGACATTTACACACGGTTGATAAATCAGGTCCCAAATTAGCACTCCTACTCTGAGATTATTCTGAATATGGGCCCGGGAGTTTCTTCTGACCATGTGACCTGTGGGCCCATGTCGCTCCTGCCTGGTTGCCGGGCGACGTTGCTAGGCGGGAGCTCTCTCTGATTTCCGCACCTGCATCCCATCAGCGATCTGCACACCTGGTCCTGATCATCACCCTTTTTAGGCTCTGACCTGACATCCATTCCCTGCCGGATCGTTAGCCATGAACAGTATGTTTATCAGTGTATCAGCCTTGGAGCTTCTAGCGTTAGTTCTGTTGTTTTGCACCTTGTTGGCTTGCTGTGTACTTACCTCCGTTTGTTCTATCTGCAGTCACTCACCCGGAACCTTCACCCAACCCCTGCTGGTGGTCGGCGGCTGCCGAGCCATTATTGGACTGCCACTGAACTCCACCAACTCATCTCCGCCGCCCGTCGTTCCGGTATTCAGACACTTTGATCTGTCCCACCAACTCTCTTTGTAACCAGTGACCCCAGAGTGTTTCCTCCTCAGGTCACATGTTCAGGATTAACTCTGGGCCCTAAACATCACACCTGACACTGACAGATACACCAGGATGAACATCAACAAAATCACACAAAAATGTGTGCTAACTTATTTGTGCTCAAACACGGCTTCAACCTGTTCTCTTCCGATGGTTATGCAGCCAAGAACCTGATGTTCAAGGACTCCACCAAGAAACTAGTGCAGCTGCCCATGAACACTGACTCCTTCCTCTACCTGGGAGCTGAGTACATGAGCACCATCCGCTCCCTGACGAAAGGTGAGGCCACACACACACACACACCCACACCCACTCATGTCTTAGGCTGTTAGGTCATTGCAATCTCCCCAACATTTGCTTTTCAGCGCAGGGCCACAGGTTCCATCTCCAGGTCCATGAAATGGTGTGCCGTGGGCCATGCCGAGAAGACCAAGTGTGATGCCTGGACAATCAACAGCGAAGGAAACGGTGGATCCATGATCGAATGCCAGGACGCACCCACAGTGGAGGAATGCATCAAGAAAATCATGGTAAGGCTATGGAAGAAGAGAGGTCCACTGTGTTCTCTATAGCTCAGTTGGTAGAGCATGGCTCTTGCAACACAGGATAGTGGGTTCATTTCCAGGGACCACCCATACGTAAACAATTTATGCACGCATGACTAAGTCACTTTGGATAAAAGCGTCTGCTAAATTGTATATATTTTTATTAGAAGGTGGGGGTGGAGAAAACGTTTTATTAGCAAGGTGTGATGTGCACTTTATAGTTTTTTTTCTTCGAGAGTAATTCCCTTAATCTCATTTCTTTCTTTCTTCTTTCTTTCTTTCTTTCTTTCTTTCTTTCTTTCTTTCTTTCTTTCTTTCTTTCTTTCTTTCTTTCTTTCTTTCTTTCTTTCTTTCTTTCTTCTTTCTTTCTTCTTTCTTTCTTTCTTTCTTTCTTTCTTTCTTTCTTCTTTCTTCTTTCTTTCTTTCTCTATTTATATTTTGTTTTCTCTTTCCACAGCGTAAAGAGGCAGATGCCATAACGGTGGATGGTGGGCAGGTGTACACTGCTGGAAAATGTGGTCTAGTCCCTGTCATCGTGGAGCAGTATGATGCAGGTATAACACACACACACGCTAATATCATCGATTTGTCTTCCCTTCTCCCTTTCTCTCCCCCTCCTGCTCTGTCTCAACAATGTAAACATGCTGAATTTCTCTTTTTCTCCTCACAGCTCTGTGCAGCACCCCTGGTGGTAAGTACACATGCTTACATCTACTTCCTCACAAAACATACACCATACTATAATTCTACAGTATTGCTACAGTAAGATGTATTGGGCCGGTTTCCCGGACACCGATCAAGCCTAGTGATGGACTGTTCTCTTTAACCTCCTCCCTCTATGTGTGTCCTCTCAGAGGATTCATCCTACTATGCGGTGGCAGTGGCAAAGAAGGGCTCTGGGGTGAACTGGAAACAACCTGAAGGGCAAGAGGTCATGCCACACCGGCTTGGGCAGAACCGCAGACTGGAACATACCCATGGGTCTCATCCACAACAAGACTAACAACTGCGACTTCAGTGAGTGTGTGTGTGTGTGTGAGAGAGTTTATAATATGTCTCATTCTATACTTGTGTACCAGTATGTCTATGAATGTAGTATATCTCCTTCTTCCTGTATTCAGCTAAGTACTTCAGTAAGGGCTGTGCTCCTGGATTTGAGAAGAGGTCTCCCTTCTGTGCCCAGTGTAAGGGCAGTGGGAAGGCCGTGGGAGATGAGGACAAGTGCAAAGCTAATGCTGATGAGCAGTACTACGGCTACGCTGGAGCCTTCAGGTAGGGGGCGCCACCACAATGGTGGAGTCAATAGTGGAGCTGATAGTTGAGTCCTTCACCAGGATCTATTGTAATAGTGATGGCGGACTATAGAAAATATATTTGTTGACCTATAGTACATTTCTCACTATCTTAAATATCTAATGGTCTGTCTTGATATCTCCTTCCAGATGTCTGGTTGAAAATGCTGGAGATGTTGCCTTCATAAAACACACTATTGTACCAGAGAACAGCGATGGTAAGTGTGTCTGCTTTACACGTCCTACTGCTCTCTCTCTGTCTCTCTGTCTCTCTGTCTCTCTGTCTGTCTGTCTGTCTGTCTGTCTGTCTGTCTGTCTGTCTGTCTGTCTGTCTGTCTGTCTGTCTGTCTGTCTGTCTGTCTGTCTGTCTGTCTGTCTGTCTGTCTGTCTGTCTGTCTGTCTGTCTGTCTGTCTGTCTGTCTCATCCTCCTGAATTTCACTCCTCCTCTTTTGATCTTCTCTCTCTCCTATAGATGAATCTGTACTCATCGTTATTTCTCTATCACACATTTTCTGTGGCTCTCTGTATCTGTGGCTCTCTGTATCTGTGGCTCTCTGTATCTGTGGCTCTCTGTATCTGTGGTTCTCTGTATCTGTGGCTCTCTGTATCTGAACAGCGATGGTAAGTGTGTCTGCTTTACACGTCCTACTGCTCTCTCTCTGTCTCTCTGTCTGTCTGTCTGTCTGTCTGTCTGTCTGTGTGTCTCATCCTCCTGAACTTCACTCCTCCTCTTTTGATCTTCTCTCTCTCCTATAGATGAATCTGTACTCATCGTTATTTTCTGTGGCTCTCTGTATCTGTGGTTGTCTGTATCTGTGGTTGTCTGTATCTGTGGTTCTCTGTATCTGTGGTTCTCTGTATCTCTGTATCTGTGGTTCTCTGTATCTGTGGTTCTCTGTATCTGTGGCTCTCTGTATCTGAAAAGGAAGTCTTCAACTCCCTCCTTTCTCTCTCTCTCTCGCCCTCCATCCTTCCCTGTAGGTAATGGTCCAACTTGGGCAAAGGGCCTTAAGTCCACTGACTTTGAACTACTCTGCCAGGAAGGTACCTCCCAGCCAATCACCAATTTCCGTGATTGCCACCTGGCCAAGGTGCCCGCCCACGCCGTGATAACACGCCCAGAGACCCGCGGAATGGTGGTGTCCTTCCTTCTGGAGCAGCAGGTGGGTGTTAAGACTTATAGCCAGATCTGTTTCTGGTTAAGACAACTCATTATTCAGTTTAGCCAAGGATAAGCAACTCCAGTACTAGAAGGCTACAGTTTGTAAGGTTTTGTCCCAGCCCAGCACTAACACACTGGAACATAAGCCTGCACATACTGTGGCCTTCCATTTTTCCCATTTCCACCCATGCTCTCCAAGCTGATCTAAGATCAGTTTTGGGGATCTATTAAATACACATTTAGTGTAAGAAAGTCTAAAATATAATTTTTTAAAGGTTTATCATTAATCTAACCACCAAGTAAATATTTTCTCCCTGTGTTTAGGCCAAGTTCGGCTCTAGTGGCAGCGATCCCTCATTTAAGATGTTCCAGTCGTACAATGGAATGAACCTGCTCTTCAAGGATAATACAAAGTGTCTCCAGGAGATCCCAAGAGAACGCAACTACCAGGATTTCCTTGGGGAAGAGTACATGATCGCCATGCAATCACTCAGGAAGTGCTCTGACAGTACCTCAGGTACAGTCCCATTACGTGACAACCTTACGTGACAACCTTAGACACACATGTGCACACACACACACACACACACACACACACACACACACACTGTATAAATGACATATCTGCATCTAAAGCTAAAACCTGTTCTCCCATTCCCTCTCAGATCTGGAGAAGTCATCCACTTTCCATTCCTGCCAGCAGAAGCAGTAGTGGAGCTCACCTTTGTGGCAAACACACACTCGCTCTCTGTCACGAGAATTTCTATCTCTAATTAATCAAATTTAATGCTCTGAATAATTCCCAGAGGGTGTAAATTCTCTGGTTTAATCATGAATTAAACAAAGGTCCGCAACCAGCAAGAATGATCTGTATTTTTAATCATGGAGAGCTCTGGCGCCAAAAAACATACATACAGCTTTTATATCCCTTGACACACAAAGGCACTTTGCTCCGCCCACCTTTAAACCGTTTCTTAGTCCCCTTCACCCTGGAATGCTTTCTCAACAGTTTCTAACTTCCCCCCTCTGTTAGTGGGTTGACACTACATTATAACTCTAACACCTCACACATTTATACTATATTTGGGGTGAAATCCTTTAGTCATTATTCTTAAAATACAAATTAATCTATCAATCCACTAAATGTTTTCACATTCAGGATAAATGTATTTACAAGCATGATTAATCTCAGAGATTACGTCAGAACTAATAAACATTACATCCAATGGCGGTCTTTCAGGGTCAAAATCCTCGTCATCTACCAAGCCTGGAGGATCGTTTTTCACATTCCCCTGGTCAGAGTCCGGAGTCGGTCCATCTCTCATCATAGTTGAGATACTGCATTTCACCAACGCCTTACTCACCAATCCTCAGACACAGGGAACAAGACAACAACCACATAATACAAGAATACCCATACAAACATTGACCGCCCCTAAGATGGTGGCTGCTATGGTTTTCTATTTACCAAACATTTCATCAAACCACCCTATCCACGATGTACTAACTTCTGAGTTCTCAGTTCATTCTTCACTTAGTGCAGTTAATTCTGCAAGAGCTCTGGTGACTGTCCCATCCAGTGTGGTGTTGTTAGGGATAAATGTGCAACAATGGCTTATCATTCTATAGACACCGGCCCTTTCTGCCTGATCTAGAGCCAACCTCTTTTACTAAGACATGAGTGGGATGGCGGATCATTTCAGAAATCCCTTTTACTGCATCCCTAGTCCCGCCAATAAATCGTTGTTGGTCGTAATATATATAATTAATCCACTTCACAATTTTGTTTATTGTCACCTACCAAAAGAACGTGGTAGTAAACCCTTCCCCTAATTCTTTCATAGCTTGTTATCCATCCGATACCCCCCCTTGGTATCCCAATCGCATCCATCTAAATAGGGCTATTCTCCTTCTTGTTAAAACTCCTCCTATGTCTGTTTAACCCTTTCCTTGGTTCCTGGAGACTAGTTCTAACTAGCTGAATCAGTAGAACCAGGGTGCACGTATCCAGCCACCATTTTGGTATTCTCTGCCTTATACTGCCTTTACTGGCACACGCCCACCACACATCGGTTACAGGGGCTGTAAGGTTCAGAATTCTCTCCTGTGCTTCTGAACTCCAGTCAATCACATTACTACTATCTCCAATTGATAATTGGTGATGTCTTTGTTTCTCTTTACCCCCCATCTGGATGTTCAGTCCCGCTCGGTCTCATATTCCCGTCCCAAAGTGTGTTTAAACACTTGTGTCTAGGAACAATCCGCCGTGGGGGCCGAACACTAATATAATGGGATTTTATAATCCCAAATTGCTTATTGACATGTACCCCACCCATTGGCTACGTCCCTAACCCTTATTTTGAATCCGACAGTCTGCCCTTCTCTGACTTCCATTTTGTAGGCCACTCGTCCTTGACGGTCAGTATGTCGGGTCGCTTCTCTTCTCTTTTACTTCTTAACAATGGTAAGGGCATAGCGTAATTGGTGGTGGATCTTGACATATCAAGACCATTGCCGAGACTATGATGCAGCTCAAGTTACCCCTATTCCCAAAAACCGCCAACCCTCTCCTGTCCTCAGTCTTTCTGCTTGGTATCACCCCATACTCACACCCTGAGAACACACTACAGTGATGATAGGTCGGGGTAGGAGATCTTCGTTAACAGAGGTGATCCCCAGACCCTATTGGTCCAGTTCTTCTCTCTAACTCTGCGTGTGTTCAGTGGTGCTTGTATGTGTTCTTACCTTTTTGCAGTGGGTAACATGGACCCAGGTTGCTCTTTCTGCTATTCTAATGGCAAAGGCAGTGACCAATATATCCTGATAGGGCCCTTCCCAACAGGCCTGCTTCCAGTCTTTCTTCTTTAGGGACTAGATGCTCACCAGTCACCTGGTTAGATAGAGTGGGTCACCTTCTCCTTTAGTTCACCTGTGGGGCACAAAACCTCTGACATACCGCTCACATCAGTATTCTCTTCTAGACTGTATCTAAAAAAAAATGTTTTTTTAAAAGTATTTTGTCCTCTCCTTCGTAAATTATTTAATCCTACCACTAGCCTCTTCCCCCCCTCTTGACTCATGTGTCAATATTACCACCTACCTAAACAATCACTTAGGTAATATTGGTAATTTATCATCCAATTGCCATCCCTTATTTATTTTTGAGACTGTCCCTTGCTTCTTTATTGCTCCTCCCACTTCCTTTGTATTTTATGGTGGCTAAATTCGACTTTCATTCAGTTCAGAATCAATCGTAATCCAATCAATCAATCTCTTATCTTGTAAAAACACTCATGTTTAGTTCAAACTCTGTTCTACCCCGGCTCTCCCGGGCTTGACCTGAAGACTGATGGTTGGACATGACAGGTCCATACTTAAATCTTTCAAACCTAACACAAACCCCCCCTTCATGCTGTAATCAATCAAGAAGATAGCAAAGGAGAGACAGGTTTTAGCCTGAACTCTGCTCAACCCTGGTGCCGCTCCCTTCACAATGTTTGAAGAGAGACCAAAAGACAGCCATGGATTGATGTAAGAGCAAGCACTTCGACCCTAGGTCACCTAAGTCTTCTGCCTAGCAACAAAGAATAAAAAAAACTATGTTCGTGATTAACCCAGTTATATCTAATAACCCACTAAAAAAAACTCCCTCATCACCATCTTTAAATCACGACCAATGTCATATATCCCTCTTTACTCTCTACCATTTGGGTAAAATCCCTGTTATATGTCGGAAAAGATAAGACTGTTTGGGAAGTGAGCAACTTTTTTCTCTTCATAAATTGTTCTTCCTCCTCAGAGTTCCAAATGATTTTACCATGGGCTGCCATTGCCTTCCCATAGATAAGATCACTTAATTTACCAGTATGCAGTACATAATGGAGTACCCAAGCTTTATAGCAGTCTATCATTCCCCAAAAGCTCATAATTCTTCATCTATTTCTGGACAGCTAGTCCCTATCTTAAATTATTCTATCCAGCTTCCTATTATTACTATCTTCCTGATCTTATTACTAAATCAATGATCTAGGCAATAGCTGTTTCGCATTAGATTGTGCCTTCCTCTGATTACTGCAGCTCATTGCATTAATTTAGTTTCAAATACATTTACATTTACATTTTTAGTCATTTAGCAGACGTTCTTATCCAGAGCGACTTACAGTTAGTGAATACATATTTCTTTATACTGGCCCCCCGTGGGAATCGAACCCACAACCCTGGCGTTGCAAACGCCATGCTCTATCAACTGAGCTACATCCCTGCCGGCCATTCCCTCCCCTACCCTGGACAACGCTGGGCCAATTGTGCGCCGCCCATGAGTCTCCCGGTTGCGGCCGGCTGCGACAGAGCCTGGATTCGAACCAGGATCTCTAGTGGTACAGTTAGCACTGCGATGCAGTGCCTTAGACCACTGCGCCACTCAAATACCAACTTGTTGTTTATTAAAGCATAATAAAAATGAAATGTAGATGACAACATTTGATAATATCTCAACTTACTTCTATCCGGTAAAAGTAATCCAAGATTAGTACAATTGACTAGCAACAGGTATCTTTCATTCAGGGAAAGCTCTCTCCCTCTTCTGTTATTTTAATGTTTCAAATCCTATTATTACCAAATTATAATCTTCTTCACACTTTTCACAGCACTATAAATTACCCTTAATTTGATCAAATAAACCATCCCAAAGTCCTCCTCTCATGCCCCCAGAACCACCAGTGTGGATGACCAATCAACACCAGAAAGTCAAAACAGAGCCCAGAGGCCATTGAAATCACCCAACAAACCGTTCCATCCCACAGCATAGTAAACACCACCTATGAACTGTTGAAAATCCCCTAAATTCAACATAACAACCCTTTATAAACATCATACTAGGTGTGTTGTTTTTTATTTGAAAAACCCAATTGAAAAACAACAATCAAAGATAGCCAGGCCCCACTTAATTTGGTAGCTCCCTGTTAAGACCTAAATACTGCCTAACTTCACTACTGCTCCCTTTAGCCCTGGGCAACATTCCAATGAGATAAGCTAATCTCTTTCTCCTGGTTATACATTTTGTCAACCTTCCATTACCATCTGTAATCTAAAGATGGTAAGTACACACAAAACATGATACAGATATCCCCAGTCCTAACTCATCAATAATCGTTTGTATCAATCTAATTCCTCATAACTAATCTCACAATGATTATTGAACCCCTAAATCTGCTCCATGTGATCTCATCTCAAATGATCCATTATCAATTATTTTACCAACACCATAGGAAAATCTGTCTCCCCTTCTATTGTTCCTTTCGCCCCTGTAAATGTCATATTTAATTAATTAGCCAATACAATCACATACTCCGTGTAAGTAAGACATTATATTTTATCACAGGCATTCCCTTAACATAATGCTATAGGAGACTTCCATCAATCCTGGAAGACACTATATAATACCACGTTTCATTAAGTTCACTACACCTTCTAATATAACCCTATAAACCCTTTCTATTAATTTAATCATTGCAACC